TTTGAGTCCTTCTGTTTCTTCGTAAGGGTGGTAATGTTTTCTACCTCTGAGATAGGGTGGAATGAGTTAAATGTAAAGTCATTTTTGAAAAACAAAACCAATAATGCAAATAGAATGTGTCTATCTATCTACCTACCTCCTTACCTACCTACCTTATCTATTTCTATCCTGGACCATAATACTAGGTATTAATAATACGGCTCATGGTGAGCATCTACTGCTTTTAGCTTGAAAAAGTCGAAAATGACTTAGTTGATTTTAAATATATATTTTTTTAAATCATGAAAAGAACATTTAAATTAGAATCCTCTTAATTCAGCAAAAAGATTTAGGTGGTGTAAGAACTCTTAACTGAAAAGCTTCCGTTTACACAACCTGGAATGAACCGATTGCATGTGAATGCAATAGGCAATCAACAAACATAACTGGGTTTTATTTGGTCCTGAAGAGAAAGAGTGAGACCGGTTGGTCTCTTGCGGTCTATGAGCATTAATAAATACAGGACATTTTAACTTTCCCAGAGGAACTATGAAGTAAACAGAAGCAAAGGTGCAGAGAGGCCGACTGTGGCAGCCCAGGGAAGCTATTGTGTGGTGAGCTGGAGGGGGCAGCCCCAGGCAGGAGGGGCAGAAGGAATGCTCCCAGGTTTCTCTGAAGTGAATTATCAAACATGGGTCTGAGGTGTTGTCTGCTGAGAAGCCACAGTACCAGACGCACTAGCCTGGCGCGTCAAGTGAAGAGAGAGCGCCTGTGAATAAAAGCTTCAGGCCAATGTCAAGTCTACCAAATAGAGTTGCAAACAGCTCCCGGTTCTGCAAGCAGAGACCACAGACATAAATCAAAGAGCAATCTTCCAACATCGGCTGTGTGGGCAGGACTGGCCACTTGTCACGCTCCGGTGCTCTCCGCCACAGTTTCGCACAGAGAGAGTAATTACCGTTGGTGGTGTCATCTGAGAGTTACGACGGACGGCGGGGCGGAGCTTGCCCATGAGGTGAATGGCGAGGATTACTCACACTCACGGTAGGGACACAGTTTACCCCTGACCACTTGTATTTATTCTCTGGATCGAGGAGGGCCAAAAATATTTTCCCTTCGAGGTGTTCCTTCTCAGGATTTATACGACATGCCTTATTTCCTGATCTCCAGCTCCTGTTTAGGAACGTGTATCGCAGACTCCTATTTCTGCCAGGGGGAGAAGTCTGAAGAGACTTTACGAAGGGGGTTCCCGGGGATAAATCAATGTTTGCAAGAATCACATGTTATTAGGATGGTTCTGAATTCTAACTAATGTAATCTGGAAGGATTTGAAGGAATGGGGGTGGGGTGGGGCTTGGGATTTTCCACTCCTCGTGAAGATTGGGTAACACTAAAGACGGGAATCAAAAGCAGTTGGTGACACACCGTGCCATCAGCTCCATTCTGGTCTTCACATATGTCAAATCCTGGGCCAGGAATGTTGCACGGTGGTGAGCGTGGCTTTCCTCCCGTGACTGGACAGCTGGCTTCATAAATGAAGTGCCATCGGCTCTTTTGATGTGTCCGACATGGACTTTACCCGTTCCAATAAAGGATTCCTTTTTTCTATTTCCTTATTTATGAAAGAATTGAAATAGAAGCTTTCCATGCGAGGGCAAGAATCCTAAAAGAGACATTTATATACCATTTACGTATTTCGGGCTTTTTAGAAAAAACATGTAATTGCCCTTAAAGGGAATGGGGTTGAGCGTTGTCATTGGTTTTACGTTTTGCAAGAATGTGAACAGATGGGCCTAAGTCTCTCTTTCATTGATGGTAAATCCAGCTCATTATATGTTATGCATCTCTTTATAAAGTTCTATATTACCAAGTCACAAAATAATTCCGGAACTAACATTATTCACTGAGGCCTCTTACAGAATGAATGCATTTAAAAAGTCCTGTGTCATGATCCCAGGACCCTGGGATCGAGCCCCACGTCCGTCCGGGCTCTCTGCTCAGTGGGGAGCCTGCTTCCTCCTCTCTCTGCCTGCCTCTCTACCTACTGGTCATTTCTGTCTGTCAAATAAATAAATAAATAAATAAATCTTTAAAAAGTCCTGTGATCATAGTAATATTTTTAACTCAATAGCAGTAGACATAGAAGCTAATCTATTGTTATTACCATGACATTAATTCAGCTTGGAACTAAGTCTAAATCCCATCATTAGTTCACAATTGTTTTTCAGCATAACATTTCCTCAGTACATACATAAGGGTATTAAAAAATGATGTGCTAACTTCTGGCAAAACCATTTCTTATTATGGAGAAGCAGCGATTCCTGAGGCCAGGTTAACTTACTGCTCTTTTCCTCTCATTCTGATCAAAAAGGGTTAAGTCGGGACTATACTGTTTAATGTCTGAATCATGTTATTTCCAGGAAAGAGAATCTTCTTGATAACCGTTCACTTCCTCTTTGCCAAACAAATACACGAACATATGTAATTTTCTATTTTTTGCAATAGTAATGGTGGTTTTTCAAGTAAGTGGAGTCCCAACCTTCGGTGGGACTGGGAATGCCTCCTGAAGCACGCTTATTGGCAGTGCTCTGGCTTCTGCTAAGAAGTCGATTCTCTGGGCTTCATTTTAATCTGTTTGGATGTTCCCCATTTGCACACACTTGATTGCTTGGCAGTTTGAAGTTTTAATGTTGGCTTTAACATCTCAGTCTCTTAATTTTTTTAAATTTTTTACATTATATCCTTTTGCTCAAAGGTAAGATTAGATATAAGAGATGAGCCCTTCTAAGATCGGGAAACCAATAACTTCATGCGGTCTTCAGGTTTTCTCAGAAAACAGTGCCAAACAGGTTATGGCTAGCTTCCCATGATTCAAGCATGCTGACATATTGCAAATCTGGGCTTTCCAGGTTGCGGAAACCAGGGGTGGCTTTTAGGTGGAACTGTAAATAGCAGTCAACTGTTTAATGACATAATGTGAATTTTTACAGGTTTCTCTAATTCTGCAACCAGATAACTTTCTGAGCACTTGAGATAAATCTTCACTCACTCTCTGGAATTGTTAAACACATAGGTTAATTTCGCACTATTGGTTTTCTCTACTCTGCATCTCTCACGCTTCAAGATCTCTTGACCTACACAAAAAAAAGTCTTTGTGACTGTCATTGTGAAAAGAGTAGCTCTTCAAAAAGTACTTGAAAAATCAGGAAAGATAACAGAGTAACTCTTCCCCAACTATTAGCAGGGCGGTTTAATTGGGCATTTTGATTCAATTTTAAGGGAGAGGAGAACAAAATCATGAACATTTACAAGAAGAGGTTTCATATATTAAAGTTTCTGAACATGAATGCTACTCTCAGAAGCATCCCCGGGGAGGCACAATATTCTCATCTTGTGACTGAAAATGTCAAGTTACACCTGAGTCAGAATCAGAAACACTTTGGGTAACAGAGCGAGCAAGAGGAGATGTGCTGCTCAGAAGGGCCATCTGCCTCGCCAGCAATCAGGACCCCCCCTTTCGTCTTTTGTTATTCATTTGGAAAAACAAAGGGATTGCATTCTAAGAGTCTTCCCAGTTCTAATATCTAATGCTTCTCTATCCAGGACAACAGATACATGCTGATTAACAGAAAAACTAAGCTAAACTGGAACAACAAAAGCAAAATAAAAACTTTTTCTATCTGAAAAACCTTGAAAAATGTATAACACATGTAACCCTTTCGTTTAAAGACCCATCCAGATTCCTGTATATTCTTCTCCCACCCCTGTAATTATTGAAATTTTTTTTTAAAAAAGGTCTTTTAAGGATTAAATGTTCCATTTAGTTTTGTAATCATTCCTCTCGTCACCCCTAAAGTATTGTCTCATTAACAGAAAATGATGTCAGAAGCAGTTTATTAATGGAAATTCTTTCTGTGAGCTTCCAAGTAAAACAAAAACATCATTAATATCAGCAATATAAAACAAACAAATTTAAAAACCCCGAAACAAAACAAATGAAACCGCGTGTCTGTCCCCAGCACCGATCACACAGAATTGAAGCCAACCAAACCGTTTTCGCACGTCACTTGGAGTGTAGATTTATTTGGATTTCAGGATCTCCTAAACAAATTACATCAACCTCACTCCATTTCCTTCCTTAATAAAAAGTATGACTGGACGAACATCAGACTTTTAAAATTCTAAAAGTAATAGAAAAGTAAAAATCGATTTCCTAGGGAAATCCCTCTCCTCGACCTTAAATGGTGTTGCTGCTTCTGTGAAATCTTTCTCTTTGGAGTAACTTGGTAGCATAGTTTTTGTTTCGTTTTTGAACTGGATTCATCCAAGGGCACTGAATTAGAACTTCAGCTGATGTACGGAGCAGGAGCCTTGATGAACGAGAAGTTACCTCTGCTCTAAAAGGAAATGGGAATGAGAGAATGCAAACACTGGAAGTTTGTTTCATTATGTAACTTGAGTTGTGACATCACAGGAAAACAGAACAGTATGAGCACTCTAAAATCATCTGCAGCACTTTTAAGGGTTAAACCTGCTTAACCCGTTCTTAGTCGGAGAATGGCACCAGAGAGGACAGCTCACCCCTTAAGCGTGGCTAGTTCTAAACCTGTGGTTTCCTCGGGTTGTTGGAGCAGTCATGCAATCCTATTTTCGCCCCCCTCCCACCCAGTTAATAGGATCCATTCATAGCTACTCACTACTGCAGGATTTGACCTGAGAAATGCTAGGATTTATTAACTCAGCAGTTGTTTGGAAAAGTCCTTAAATAATCTTTGCCCTTGGCCAGCAAGGGCACTGCTAGTCTCAAGTTCTCAGACGCAGCTGGTGAGGTTCTCGGCCAAGTTCTTCAGAGGCAGGAATTTCTGCAGGACAACCTACTTTGACGTGGCATTTACAAATCTTGAAACCAGGCTTCCTGGATCTAGGAAATGTTATTCCTGACTCCTTCGACCCAGATGCTGGCTGAAATTCAGTTTTTATAATCTGTAGGTAATCACTCATTCTTCCCTCCTTCCTTTTTCCTAGGAGCTGGCGTGGTGGTTAAATTTTTCTAAAACAGTCATATTAATATGTTCAAAAATCCACTGCTGAGTCTCAGATAGAGGGTCACATCTGGCCATGAAAATCTTCTTCTCTGCGGGGTTGCAGTCCATGCAGCTGTTGCTCACAGAATGGAATAATGTTCTGTCCTGGAGGGATCAGAAAGAAAAGAAAGGCCTGACATAATATATGAGCGGTTAGAACCCAAAATATACAGAGGAAGTAAAATGTCCCTGTTTATATTTCAGTATATACCCAGAGTGTGAAAAGGAGACCATCTCCCAAATCAAACAATAGCAGTTTGGATAACCACGTGGAGAACAGTGTCCCAGGGCCTGCAGGCTGATATAGAAACTCCAAGCAGGCTCAATCCGGAACAAAGAATTCATTCCTTCACGGCTGTTTTAAAAAAGCAATCCATGCACTTCCTACTCTGTAGTTAGCATTTTGCTACATGCTTGGGTTTTAAAGATACTACCTGTATAGGAGGTTGCTAACCAACTAGCTAATAATGTAGCTATCTGGGGAGAGGCACATTTACAAAGATGGTAATTCTGTCCATAGCAAACAGCAACAGGTGGGTCTGCATGCAACACACACACACACACACACACACACACACACACACACATACACAGACAGGAACCCACCCTTGCTTTTCACAGCCTGGACTGACTGGCATTCACTGAGTCTGACCCGACTAGATTAGAAGAAGAGGAGTTGTAATTTTCCCTTCCCTTGTATGGAGCCTCTAATGGGACAAAGAAGTACAAGAAGAAACAGGAACCAAATGAGCTAGGTGCTCAGTTGCCCTCTTCAGAACTTATACGGACAGAGATTGCTGGTGCACAGGCCCTATCTCCATGTACAAACTCAAATTTCTTAGCTCTGAAGCTTCAGCATCTTCTCCAACCTCCCTTTTGGCCATTACAGCTCTTCTGTGATGCAACTCGCATTGTTTCCTGTAAAAGGGAGGAGGCAGCATTCACTTAAAAAAAAAAAAAAAAAAAAAGAGTACCTAAGTATGCGATAAAACGAACAGCTCTTTGAGAGAAAGGTACTATCAGGGCACAAAGCTTACGTGGCAGTGAACGAGCTCACTATCTGGCTCGAACACACCGCGGGATCAAAAGTCAGACACTCTTCCAACTGAGCCAACCAGGGGCCCCAATACATACCTCTTTCTTATTGTTTAAGTAGAGAAAAGGAAGTTAATGTAAAGAGAAAAAAAAAATCTTTCCTTAACTGGTAACAAAGCCTTTTGTTTCTTACAGCGTCTACGCAAAAAAATTGCCAAGAGCACGTGAAAAGCATTCTCAAATCACTGTTTGAATTTCGGGGCCAAATACTGTTTTTTAGGAAACGTTCAGAGGTTCTGATTATTTTCTTTAACTGAGGAATACTTGATTCACAATGCTTTTAGAATGACAGAGTTTCTCAGGCAGCCAGTGTAAATATTTCTGGGTTGTTCTGGATGTTAGGACTCCATCAACCAATATTTAATGTCCTTTTAGGATCCGGATGTTTGCACAGTTACACAGTGGGTGAAGGAAGAATAAGGAAGGAGAAAGGCAGTGCCTGCAATTTAGTGCTTGTTTCTGTTTAGTGTAAACAGAGAGCTCTGCCTCATACAAAGGCTCGCTTTTCTCTTTTGTTTTCTTAAATTTCCTGGGTTGATTGCGGATTTTCCTTTCTTTCCTCAAAGAAGTGTCCTTCCTCTTTTTTTCACCTGGGGCTTTGCGACCTTGGCTGCTGTTCGACCCCAGGGGAAGCTCTGAGGAACTCCCTCCTATTCTTGGTGCGGCCAGCAGAGTCCAGAAGAGAGGCTAGCCTACTCTGCCCCTCACCCCACTCACCCTTCCCTCTCAGGTGAAACTCACACATAGAGACCCCTCCTCACAGCTGTGCCGGTCCCTTGGGCTGCGGTCTCTTTTGTGCCCACCCTCTTGCTTCCCAGCATCTTTCATGCTCAGTCCTCTGCCCCTAACTTCTACCCATTTAGCTACATGGTATATTTAAATCAGCTTTTCAAAGAGCCTTCCTAAGCCATTTGATTCCTGAAAATTCTATGTGACCTACTAAATGCTAATTCACTTTGTTCCACCTAGGTCTCCTTCTTTTCCCCCCTACTTCTCTGTATTTCCTTCTATTCTTTCCCTTTGTCAGTAGCTCAAGTGGGGACCTTTGTATGCTCACAGTTTCTCCCCCAAAGCACATATTTCTATGAAAGCTAAAAAAAAAAAAAAAAAAAAAAAAAAGACAGAGTGAGAGAAAGAGAGAGAAAAGAAAGGAGTAGAACGTGTTTCTGTTCTCTTCCCTTCATGAGCTTGTATGGGTGCAAAAGCCAAACCGGATTTTCTGAACATTATCTGCTGAGCTATAAGGTGATCGTATTTCCCCCAGCCCCAAGTTGGGACACAGGCTCTGACAAATACAGGCGTATGCAAGAGGACAAGCAGACAGCACATGCAAATTCAGCACTGCCTTGAAAAATCCAGAATATGTTTTCTGTTATTGTACTTGGTGCTCTCATAGAAGCTGAAAGTTAAATTCCCTTAATCTGTCGACTGCTGAGAAGCTTCACCAGTAAAATGAGAGGGTGGTTAAGATTAATCTGTAAGGCCTCTCCTGGCCATAAAATTGAACGAACCTTTTATTCCAAAGTTCAGGGCTGACTGACAGAGACAAATGACGGGGCATCCAACTAGAGACTACCGACAATACTCAGATTGACAGATTGATCATTCTTTGGTTATAGACTGAGCTCTGTTCACCCTTGTCCTTGCGGGTGTCCACCAGGTCCTACAGGTGAAGCTTCTGGAGGCCCTGTCAGCCTCCCCGGAGCATGCATTCTCCACTTTTGACCTTGGGGGCCGCGTTCGTTGCTATCTTTGTAACTTTCTACTCAGCTAAGCTTTTGGATTACTAAGTGTCTTTACTGATGGCTTTCCTGGCTGGAATTAAGTCAGTGGACCGAGCAATCATTTGTCAGTACGGTCTCTCGTTCTAAGACAGCCCTTTGTTCCCCTGCCCTCCGTCTTATGACAAGAGTTGGCTATAACAGAATCGAATACAGGCCCCCCCCCCCCCCCCCGCTTTGGAATAGGCTTCTGGGAGCTTTGGCAAACCTGCTGTTCCATAACAGTCCCCCTTAAAGGGGCCTTTTGACTGGACTATTCCCTGTTCAGTCCTGAGAGGAAAGCAGAGCATGTGCCCTGGTTGTTCACAGTATAATACGGCAAACTGTACCTCTCTCATCTCCTCTCCTCTCCCACCTTCCCTGCCTGCTTCCTTCCTTGCCGTTCCTGTTTTGATTTTGCCTCAGAAAATGAGAAATTCTTGAGCAGGAAATGGAAAAGTTCAGATCCAGGGATGGGGAACTGCCCTTCCAAATCCAATCAGGTCAGACTCAATGCCCAGTTCTGGCTAGTCCAGACTGTGAAAAGCATGGGTGGGACTTTTCAGGGACCCCATTGTAAGGGACACCTTCCTGAAACCAGCCAGCGATTTGATTGGCATCTCTGTGACACTTGTCGCCAGACACTAAATTCGATTAGATTCCATATTTCTCCAGGGTCTGAGCTTTGAAGGCCTGGGTGTGTTGTAGAAAGCATTCCACACTGTGTGCAAGGTAATAAAAGAACAAACCACCAGAGATGCAAAGACAATATAGTAAGTGTGTGAGTTCATGATGTGTAGAAAGAGGACTCTGAGAATAGAACTGGCACACGGTGGGAGGGAAGGCAGCCTGTGCTGGGTCAGGGGCTGGGATTTTGTTCTGCACAGGCTTTGGATCAAATTCCAGTCATGCCACGTCTTTGCTATGTGACCTTGGGCAGTATTTAATTCTCTGAACTCCAACTTCTTCATCCATAAAATATAGATAATAATCCTGCATGAGTTTGGTGTGAGGATGAAATGAGTTAATACATGTAAAATTGCTGGCACAATGTCCTACATATAATAAGTACTTCCGCTCTGTATCTTCCCTTAATTTATTTTTAGTCAGGGAGCATCCCCAATTCAAAAAATCAGAACGTACAAACCATCTGGTCCGAGACCAGCTATTCAAGACCAAATTGCATTCTCTGAAATCCTGGCAAAATAGAATGTGCAAAAATTAGCTCCTGCCTCAGCCCGTTATCCAAACTGATATACTTCCATTTTAAGCAAAAGGATTTACGGAACAAAGGTGATGTATGGCTCGGGAATTAGTTCTTTTATGTAATTATGGTCAGAGTTTATATATGATTCATATGTTTCAGTCCTTTGCCTGAAATACAACATGATTCAGGTCAGAATTCAATAAATAATACATATTTATTGAATGCCTTTTATTTTCTGGTATGTATTAGAAGAAAGGCCTAGAAAGATAAGCTGAGATGCAGCTCCTGACCCAGGAAGAGGGGGACACCAAGAGGTAAACAAGAAATGTATGAAATAAAAAAGTGCCAATGAGACTGTGGATGAGGGAGAGTATAATGTGTGAGGGTATTTCAGATGCAGAGAGCAACATGGGGAAAGAGAGACGTGATTGCATGTGCATTTATGCATTCGATTTATTCAGCAAAAATTTATTGGGACTTACTATTTATTAGCCACTGTTTTAGGTAGCTAGGATATTTCAGTGAACTTCACAGGACAATCCCCGCTCTTGCACCACCCTCCTGGAACTTTCATGCTAGAGGCAGGGTAGGGGTGAGGCAGTGGGGCACAGACAATGGGCATAATAGGTTATGCAAATTTAAAGATTTTTATTTATTTATTTGACAGACAGAGATCACAAGTAGGCAGAGAGGCAGGCAGAGACAGAGAGAGTGGGAAGCAGGCTCCCCACTGAGCAGAGAGCCCGATGTGGGGCTCGATCCCAGGACTCTGGGATCATGACCTGAGCCGAAGGAAGAGGCTTTAACCCACTGAGCCACCCAGGCTCCCCAGGTTATGCAAATTTAAATAGGGCAGCAAGGGTGCACCTCATTGAGAAGGTGACATATGGGTAGTCTTGAAGAAGGTAAAGGAATTGGCCATGCCAGTATCTGGGGAAGAGAGTTCCAGACAGACCGGCTGGTGCAAAGGCATTAAACAGGAACAGCCCCTGAGGGGTTAGAGAGTTAGAGGAATGGCAGGGGAACTGGGTGGGGGAGAGAGT